CTCGGTGGACACAACATCTTTGTTGGTATGTGGTGCTGAGGATCGAACCTGGGCCACACGCATATCAGGCGAGCGCGCTACCGCTTGAGCCACATCCCCAGCCCCCCCATTTTATTTTTTTAATTAATTTTTTAAAATATATTTTTTAGTTGTCAATGGACCTTTATTTATATGTGGTGCTAAGAATTAAACCCAGTGCCTCACACATGCTAAGCAGGCACTCTTCCACTGAGCCACAACCCCAGCCCCTGCAGTTCCATTTTAAACTAGAAGTCTCAGAAGAGGTGACTTTCAATAGCAAAGAAATGGAATTGGGGCTGGGGTTGTGGCTCAGTGGTAGAGCTCTTGCCTAGCACATGTGAGAGAGAAAATCCTTAGTACTAGGATTTTTTATGTAGTACTAGGTTCAATCCTTAGTACTACATAAAAATAAATAAATAAATGTATTGTGTCCATCTACAACAAACAAACAAATAAATAAATAAATGGAATCAACCTGTGTCCATTAACCAGTAAACGTATAAAGTAAAATGAAGTATATACGATTTTTTTCCCCCGTACAGGGGATTTAACCTAGGGGGAGTTAATTACTGAGTCACGTAAAAAAGCCTTTTTTAATTTTTAAGTTTTGTTTTTGAGACTTAGAGTCTTGCTAAGTTGCTGACACTGACCTTAAACTTTCGATCTTCCTACCTTAGCATTCTGAATGCTGGGGTTATAGACCTGCACCAAGATGCAGGGCAAAATGTGGTACGTATATACAGAGGACTGGGGATGTAAATCAGAGGTAGAGTATTTCCCTAGCATGTGCAAGGCCTTGGGCTCAATTTCTGGTACCTCCCCCCCACACCCCACCCCTGCAATACACTGAAATACTATTCAGCCATAAAAAGGATGAAATTCTGTCATTTGCTATAACATGGATGAAACCGGAGAACATTCTGTTAAGTGAAAAATCCAGGCACAGAAAGACAAAGACCACTTAATCTCACATATATTTTGAATCTAAAAATATTGACTTCATACAAATTGAGAGTAGAATAGTTGTTAACAGAGGCTGAGAATAATAGGAGGGAGAAAGCAAGTGGGAAATATTGGTCAATGGGTACTAAACTATACCTTGCAGAACTGAATTTTGGTAGAATCATTACAGATAACAATAATGTGCTATGTGCTGTATACTTCAAAAAAGCTAGAAGAAAGGATTTTGAATGTTTTCAAAACAAAGAAATGATAAATGAGGAGAAAGATAAATGAGGAGACCTTGATTTGAAATTACACAATGTATATATGTATGGAAACATCACCTGGTGCTCCAGAAATATGTACAATTTTTAGGCACCAATTAAAAAATTAAATGTGGGGGGCTGGGGATATGGCTCAAGTGGTAGCGCGCTCGCCTGGCATGCGTGCGGCCCGGGTTCGATCCTCAGCACCACATACAAACAAAGATGTTGTGTCTGCCGAGAACTAAAATAAATAAATATTAAAAAAAAATTAAATGTGGTGCATGCTGGTAATCCCAGTGGTTTGGGAAGCTGAGATAGGAGGATCTCAAATTTAAGGCCAGCCTCAGCAATTTAATGAGGCCCTAAGCAAGTTAGTGAGACCCTGTTTCAAAATAAAATATAAAAATGGCTGGGGATAAGGTTCAGTGGTTAAACACCCCTAGGTTGAATTCCTGCCATCCCTCCAACCCCTTGCAAAAAAATTAAGACTCTCTCTTCCCTTTCTTAGTTATTAGGGATTGAACTCACCACTGAACTACACTCTCCACTCGCCTTACTGTTCTTTTGAGTACAGGAGTTGAACCCAGTGGTGTTTTACCACTGAGTTATATCCCTAGTCTTTTTAATTTTTTAAATTAAATTTAATTTATTTATTGTATCAGGGATTGAACTTGGGGCACATAACCACTGAGCCACATCCCCAGCCCTTTCAAATTTTTTTTATTTTAGAGCAGGGTCTTACTGAGTTGCTTAGGGCCTCACTAAATTGCTGAGGCTGGCATTGAAGGTGCCATCCTTCTGCTTCAGTCCACTGGGATTACAGGTATGTGCCACCAAGCCTGGCCTAGCCCTTTTTATTTTGAGACTGGGTCTAGCTAAATTGTTGTGCCTGCCCTTGAAATTGGGATCTTTCTGCTTCAGCCTCCATAGTAGTTGAGATTGTAGATGTGTGCCACCTCACTCTGTCCAAAAAGCACTTTTAAAGTTACTTATTATGCAACAATAAAGTAAAAATAATTAAAAATTAACAAACACAATCAGAACCTGCCTTAAACTCATATGAATTTTTAGTAAATAAAAATATGTGGCCGGGCCCAGCGCGGTGGTGCACAATGTAATCCCAGCGGCTCTGGAGGCTGAGGCAAGAGGATGGCGAGTTCAAAACTAGTCTCAGCAAAAGCGAAGTGCTAAGCCACTCAGTGAGACCCTGTCTCTGAACAAAATATAAAATAGGACTGGGGATGTGGCTCAGGGGTCAAGTACTCCTGAGTTCAATCCCTGATACCTCCAAAAACAAAACAAAACAAAACAAAAAAGGGCTGGGATGTGGCTCAGTGGTTAAGCATCCCTGAGTTCAATCCCTGGTACCAAAAACAAAACAAACAAATAAACAAACAACACCAGGATACGGTTAAGTTTGAATCTCAGATAAAGGAGGAATAATTTGTTAGTGTAAGTATGCCTCTGTAATGGGACACCGTGGAACCAAGGAGTATAAAATAACATAAAAGCCATAAAAGTACCTTAAGGGGTTGGGATTGTGGCTCAGAGGAAGAGCGCTTGCCTTGTATGTGTGAGGCACTGGGTTCGATCCTCAGCACCACATAAAAATAAAATTAAGATATTGTATCCACCTATAACTAAAAAATAAATATTAAAAAAAAAAGAACCTTAAAAGTGGAGGGGCTGGGAATGTGTAGCTCAATGGTAGACCACTTGCTTAGCACGGGTGAGGTACTGGGTTTGATCTCTAGCACCGGGGGAAAAAATGTTTGGAATAACTGGAAAGTATGTCTAAATTCTGATTAGACAGATCTAGGATAAAACGCATGCCTCAGGATACTTGCTCTTAAACAGGGAAAAACATAATGATTTCCAATTGGAGGGCTGAAATTAATAAATCAGCTCTGCAACATATGGCCGCTAGGTGCCGCAACAGAAGCATTTGCTGAAACCATAGACAAACAGGAGAGTTGGCCGCCCAAACGCCCAGAGAGGCTTCATTTGGGCTCTTTGATCTCCTTCCGGCGAATAGAGATCCTACGCTGGAAGAGGCGTAAGTGCGGGAGAATGGGAGAGATCTCACGATAGTAGGACCAAGTCTCGCGGTTTTTTCTTTCTTCTTCTTTTTTTTTTTTTTCCATTTTACCTAGCGACTGAGAACAGGCCGGTTGCTCCTAGTAGAATCCTTGAAGTGACCTGTTGTGAGATTGGAGTGAGACCCCAGTCCTAGGCTGGGGTTCTTTCCATATAGAGGAGACGGATTCAGAAGGGCTCCAGGTAATTCGTACTCACCCCATCGGAAAGGAAACTACCTTCCTCCCTCCCAACAGGACGCCTCTTGCCATCTCTATGACAACTCTTCTTCCCTTTCCCCACCCCACTACCAACTGTCCTGTTTCTTTTACTCCCCACGAAACTTAAGTGGAATTTTATCTGCAAAACGAGTGAAGATGGAGGTGACGCTTTTGGATTATTCAGTGGGACCCATAGAGAGACTGGAGTTGACCCTCTCTTCGGGACACCGCCCCCACCCCCAGCCCGGTCCCAGAGGTGACCACCAGACAGAATTGTTTCTAGAACCTCTATAACCTCCCCTGAGAAAACCCAACAGCTTTTGGAAAAATGACCGAACCTGGGAAGAAAGCCGCGGTCTGCCTTTGCATGTACATCTAACAGCTTTGCGGGAGCTGCAAGAGAAGTCATTTCCCTCCAAGATTCCCTCGGTCCCCAGCCAGCCTGCTGGCAGTTCCTACACAAGGGCTACAGCAGAATGGCTGAATTGTTTGAACTGGGGCCAAGCAGTCTTAAGGAAAGTTTGGGATGGGGTCGAAGGTTTTATGTAGAATTGGTGTCTTGGGTGAGGAGGAGGAAACCATGATGGTTTGGAAGGCATTTCCCGGCAGAGTGTTTAATGTACAATCCATGATGTGTAATCATATCTCCTTTTGCTTAGACCAAGATTGTTGAGAATCAGGCATATGATGAACGTATAGAGGTTAACGACCCCGAAGAGGTTGCAAGTATTTGTACTCCAACCCCAGGGCAGCAAGGTAAGAGAAGAATGAAGAGGAAAGAAGAGAAATGGTTGTTAAAACAAATAGCAGGATGGATTTCATGTTTGTCTCAAGTTCCTGATTTGTAATAGCAAATTTTGACTTTCAGAGTCAGTTACTTCATTTGCTGTTGTTTCTGTTTTCTAACTAGTTAAGGAGGGAGAAATCACAGCTTGTTAATTGCAGGATCTTCCTTAACCCAACCCTATCACTTTTACTTCATGTTACTACTCAGCTTATGGTCTGATCTATAAAGCATTTGCTATTTGTGATGCTAGACATCAAACTCAGGCCTCCTGCATTCTAGACAAGCAGTCTACCACTGAGCTCTAGTCCCTGTTGTAGCTGTTGTTTTAACTTTTCAAAACTGTTTTTTACACTGTTTCTGCCCTTAAACAGCAACCCTAGCCAAAATATCAACAGAATAGTTTTAGATGATTTGACACCATTCATTTATTCAACAAACATTTTTCTTTTTTTGAAGATCGGAGTCTCGCGGCTGGGGATGTGGCTCAAGCGGTAGCGCGCTCGCCTGGCATGCGTGCGGCCCAGGTTCGATCCTCAGCACCACATACAAACAAAGATGTTGTGTCCGCTGAGAACTAAAAATAAATAAATAAACATTTAAAAAAATAAATAAATAAATAAATAAAGATCGGAGTCTCACTATGTTTTTCAGGCTGGTGTTGAATTCCTGGGCTTAAATGGATCCTCCTGCCTCAGCCACCCAAATACAGGTGCATACCACCACATCTGGATCTGGCTCAACAAAGTTTTTTTTTTGTGTGTGTGCATTATAATTTTACATAATAGTGGGATTAATAAACATTTTTGAATGCCTACTCTATGTCATGTCAACCTTATGCCTGGCACTGGATATACAGTGTTAAACAAAAGACACATTGTCCCGCCATCCTTCTGCTTGTACTCATGGGAGAAAGATGACAAATGAATTAATAAATAAACATGGCTACAAATGTGATAAGTGCATTGATGGAGGCAAATTGCTGTTAAGGAAAATAATGGTGAAGAAGGAGATCTTTTTTTGGTACCAGGGATTGAACCCAGGGATGCTTAATAACTGAGCCACATCCCCAGCCTTTTTGTGTTTGCTTATTTGTTTGTTTTTGTGGTGCTGGGGATTGAACCCAGGTCCTTGTGCATGGGAAACAAGCACTGTATCAACTGAGCTATATCTCCAGCACATTCCAGCCCTTAATTTTTTTTTTAAATTGTAGATGAACACACTACCTTTATATAAATAAATGATTTTTTTTTTCAAATGTGCTGAGGATTGAACCTAGTGCCCCACTTAGGCAAGTGCGCTACCACTGAGCTACACCCCAGCCCCCTTTTTTAAAAATTTGAGACAGCATCTCACTAACTTGCAGTCCTCCTGCCTCAGCCTCCTGAGTTGCTGGGACTCCAGATATATCCAACTATACCTGTCAAGGGAATGTATTTTTGATAAGGTAGTCAGGGAAGATAAAAGGAGAAGAGTCCATCATATGGGAGAGGAAAGTGGCATATGGTTAGATTAGAGAGGTAGGCAGGAGACAAAACAAGTAAGCTTTTTTTTTTTTAAAACATTTTTTAGTTATAGGTAAAAACAATACCTTTATTTTATTTTTATGTAGTGCTGAGGATTGAACCCAGTTCCTCATGTATGCTAGGCAAGTGCTCTTTCTCTGAGACACAACCCCAGCCCAAACTTTTTTTTTTTAATAAAATTTTCTTAGTTGAAGATGCTACAATGCCTTTATTTTATTTATTTATTTTTATGTGGTGCTGAGGACCAAACCCAGTGCCTCACACATGGTGCCTCTATGACTGAGCCGCAATCCCAGGCCAAAACAAAACAAGCACCCTTTAGCAGCTATGTTGCTTTTTTGTTTGTTTGTTTGTTTTGGAGGTTTTTTTTTTTTTATTTTTTGGTACCGGGTATTGAACTCATGGGCACTTAACATAGAGCCACATCCACAGTAATTTTATATTTTATTTAGAGACAGTCTCAAGTTACTTAGGGCCTTGCTGCTGAGGCTGGCTTTGATCCTCCTGCCGCAGCCTCTCACGCCCCTGGGATTACAGGCATGGGCCACCATGGCTTATGTTACTGTTTTTAAAATTTATTTATTTTTTGGTACCAAGGATTAAAGTCAGGGGCACTCAATCAATGAGCCACATCCCCAGCCCTATTTTGTATTTTATTTAGAGAAAGGGTCTCACTGAGTTGCTTAGTGCCTCGCTCTTGCTGAGGCTGGCTTTGAATTGGTGATCCTCCTGCCTCAGCCTCCCAAGCCACTGGGTTTATAGGCAAGCGCCACCACACCCAGCCCCTTTAATCTTTTTTTTATTTTTTAGTTTTCGGTGGACACAACATCTTTGTTTGTGGTGCTGTGGATCGAACCCGGGCCGCATGCATGTCAGGCGAGCGCGCTACCGCTTGAGCCACATCCCAGCCCCCCTTTAATCTTTTTAAGTATAAAGTTAATGGCATTAAGTACTTTCACAATGTTGGGTAACTGTCACTACTGCCTATTTCTCCAGAACTTTTTCATCATGCCAACCTATTGAACAGTAACTCCTGATGCCTTTCTTCTGAGTCCCTGGTCCACTATTCACTTTGTTTCTACAATTTACCTATTCTGCATACTTCATAAGTGCAATCATATTGTATTTGTCCTTTTATGACTTCTTTCTTTCTTTTCGTTTTCTCTTTTTCAGTACTGGGGATTGAACCCCATCCCCAGCCCTTTTGTTTTATTTTGAGGCAGGTGTCACCATGTTGCCCAGTCTGACCTCGAGCTTACAATCTTCCTGCTTTACACTCCCAAGTAGCTGGAAGTAGAGTGTGGGCCACCAAACCAGGCCTGTGGCTGACTTATTTCACGTAGTAAAATGTTTCAAGGTTCATTCATGCTATAGTGTGTCTCAGAACTTCATTCCTTTTTATGGCTGAATTATATTCCGTTGTATGGATATGCTACTCTTTGTTTATCTGTTCATCTCTTAATGGATACTAGGGTTGTTTTTACCTTTATGCTGTTGAGAATACTGCTGCTATGTACAGAGGTGTACAAGTGTCTGTTTGAGTCTCTTTTTTCAGTTATATTGAATATGTATCTAGTCACCAGGTTTTTGACTTGAGCATCTTTATACTCTTGCCAGCTGTGGAAATTATAACTTCTTTTCAGTTGGCTAATTTAGTAAGCCAAAAAATGGTGTTTAATTTGCATTTACTGGGCTGGGGATGTGGCTCAAGTGGTAGCGTGCTCACCTGGCATGTGTGCAGCCCGGGTTCGATCCTCAGCACCACATACAAACAAAGATGTTGTGTCTGCCGAAAACTAAAAAATAAATATTAAAATTCTCTCTCTCTCTCTCTTAAAAAAAATAATTTGCATTTACTTGATTTAGAGTTATCTAACAAGTTTTCATGCCAGTTTATACCTTATATCTGATTATACTTTAATTGTTCAGAATATTTTTATTACTGTTACAGATACTGATTCAGATTCAAATTTATAACTATCCATTATTTGCCAGGCTCTAGTTTACTTCCTTCTGTGTAAGGTTTATCACTTGATCCTTACAACAGTCCTGGGTAAGAAATATTACTGACCATACTTAGAGATGGGAATACTGAGATTGAGAGAGATTAAGGCATTTTGTCCAAGTGAGAGAGTTTTCTATCATATCCAGTCTTCTGAATTAATCCATCACTCTTCTCACTTTCTAATCACTTACCTCATTTTGCCAATGAAAAAACTAATAATAATAATATGCTATAATATGATAGTGACCATATTATACTAATTTACTTATTTGTTTTTAACCTTTGTTTATTTATTTTTTATGTGGTACTGAGGATTGAACCCAGTGCCTCACACGTGCGAGGCAGGAGCTCTACCATTGAGCTCCAGCCCCAGCCCCAGCCCTATTATACTAATTTAATAAAATTATATTGTAGAGTGGAAAATAATCATTTAGTATAACATCTAACCCAATCCTTTAAGCACAGTAATGTTTAGTAAATATAATTTGAATTGAATTGATACAGCCATTCTTAAAAATCCTGTCCATAGAATAGTTAAAGCATAAAATATTATAAACTAAAACTATTGGTTTTTAAAAATCATTTAAATAGTAACCTAAAATGGAAATTTTTTTTCTAAGGACTTCCTCATTCTGGCTGTCTTCCTAACAAGACTATGGCTGATAACAGCAGTGATGAGTACGAAGAGGAAAATAACAAGGTACAGTATAACCCACAGCTTCTTGTAGAATTTCTGCTTTAGGTTTTTAATAGATTATTTGAAATGATATCAGCTCAATAGTGAACATTTCCTGAATGCTCAATGCCAGTGATTGGGTACGTTTGTACTCATGGAGGAAATTCAGGAGCAAAGAGCCTTGAGATTTTGACTTCAGCAGAAATAAATGCATCTTTTTTTGGGGGGGGTGGAGGTACTGGGAATCGAACCCAGGGGCACTTAACCACTGAGCCACATCCCCGGCCCTTCTATATATTTTATTTAGAGACAGGGTCTCACTGAGTTGCTTAGGGCCTTGCTAAATTGCTGAGGCTGGCTTTGAACTCTTAATCCTCCTGCCTCATCCTCCCAAGCCACTGGGATTACAGGCATGCGCCACCATGCCTGGCTTTTCTTTTTCTTTTTGAGGTCCTGGAAATGGAACCCAGGGCCTTGTATATGGTAGGCAAGTGCTCCAACACTGAACTACATCCCTGACCTAAGCCTATCATTACAGATGACTTTTTGGTGAAAATTTGCTACAAAGTCTGCCAGTGCTTCACAAACTTTACTTATCCTAAGAATCAACTGGTATACTTACTTTTAAAAATGTAGATTCCAAGTCCCTATTCAGAATCTCAAAAGCCAAAGCCTGAGAATTTATATTTAATAAGTAGTTCATGAAATTCTCATGTTAAATTAAGAATTATTGGTCTAGGAATTTTTTCATCATCAACACTTGTGATATTGCAAATATTTTGTGAAAGAGATTTTAATTTTGAGGTCTTAAGAAACAGATGATCCTATTTTCCTATCAACCTAGGAAATCACCCTGTTTCTGAAAGAAAGTTGGAAAGATACCTCTATCTCTATCCAGGGAGAAGTTGCACGTGTAACAACCTTTTTTTTTTGAATCAGGGGGATTGAACCCATGGACTCTTAACACTGAGTCATATCCTCAGCCCTTTTCTTATTTTTTTTTTGAGACAGGGTCTCACTAAGTTGCTTAGGGCCTTGCCGAGTTGCTGAGGCTGGCTTTGAACTTAGATCTTTCTGCTTCAGCCTCCCAAGCCACTGGGATTACTGATGTGTACCTTAACACCTGGCCAATGGTCATATTTTAATTGTTCTTTAAGAAAAGGAACTATCAAAAGTCAATTAAAAATTTTTTAAAAAGCTGTCATTTATTTTTAAAAAATCAATTAAAAAATTTTTTTTTGGTATGTTCACAAAAATCTATTTTAAAGTTTTATGAAAAGTAAATATGTATATGGTATATGTATGTCTTATTTGTGTATAGAGAGACTGGAAGTATATATATACACATACATATATATCATATTTCTATTCCCATAATTTTTAAAAATACCAGTTTGGTAACTGATTTTTTTTTTCATGATACTTTTTTTTATTAGTTGCGCGAGACAATACAGTGATCTTGACATATCATACATTTGATTCAAATCAATTAAAAAGTTTTAAAAAAAGAAAAGGAACTACAGAAATTCAGGTGAAGAATATTTGAGGTAATATAGGAAGCTGTAAATATATAGGCTGACTATAAAAAGACTAAAAAGTAACATTTTAAGGTAGTCTTTCTCCATGACTAGGTACACTGTTTTAGCATCTTATATACATGATAATCTCTTAGGCATTTGATCATAAAAAAATCCTCCCCTATTATCTTAAGGATTTTGTAAAGCACAACTTTCAAGAAGCAGACAAAAGAAAATAGAAAAGTTTTCTTTAATTGACCTCCAAATTTGGTTTATCCGCCCTCAATTGTTCTAGTCTACATGCCTTAGTCAGTATTTAAGTCTCATTTATCTTTCCAGTTTAGTATGTACCCAGCATCAGCAAAAAACCATCTACTTTTGAGTAATCTTTTTTTGGGGAGAGGCAAGTACTACAGATTGAACCCAGGGGCTCTTTATCATTGAGCTACATTCTCAGTCCTTTTTATTTTTTATTTTGAGACAGGTCTCATTAAATTGATCAGGCTAATCTCAAACTTGTATGCCTCTTGCCTTAGCCTGCCAACTCACTGGGATTACAGGCATGCACCATCATTCCTGGTTTGAATGATCTTTAAATCAACAATTAATACTCTTAAAAATTCCCTTTGCCAAACCTGCTTCCTCTGACCAAGGATAATTTTGGCAAATGTTATTCTAGAAGATTCTTATCAATTATATACCAATAGTCATTGAATGAATTCTGCAACTGTGTATTATTATCTGTTGTAAATATTACAGATAAGTTAGAGTATATTTTTATCTATGTATAATAAATCTGTTATTTGTAGAGGAATATGTGACTGAAAACAGTTTTTATTGTCTTGGAATGTGCCACAGTTTTATGTGCCAACAGCTGCTTTACCATAAATGAAATATTTTAAAAAACTGGAATCAGTATAAGCCATATAGCATATGGAAACCAAGCTTTCAAAATATGCTTTTAAAGGGGGCCAATTGGTCATCCTTCAGGTCCTAAGGGAGGGAATGCCACAGGCTCCAGGCCACAGAGGCAAAGACATGGACCCCATCCCAACTGCCCCTGCAAGTCCCAAGCGCCACCAGACCCCTTCTCATGGACTTGAGAGGGTGGGTTGGTACATAGACAGCCAGAAGCTCAGAAAGGTAGGTTATATTGCCAAGAGCAAAAGATCCCTTATCCTGAGATGGAAAATATAGTCATTGTACTTATGGGGGAAGGGAAGGGAAATATGGCTAGGTCAAATACCCCATGAAGAGAAATATCACTGAGCAAAAGTGGAAAATGCATAGTCTCTGAAATTGCTGGTCAGAATTCAGGCTCAGGGTTGATTATGAAATTTCTTTTTTTGATAGTTTCAAGCAGATTACTCTGAGCAGTCTTGCAAATTAAATGCTAGATTTCCTTGTGATCTTTGTGAGTATTAAAACCCTCTAGTGTGTCTTCCCTGTTTCATCTTCCCCCATTTTTTCCTTCAATAATTATTTAGAGTTGTCATCCTCTTCTTGGAAAGTCCCTAAATTTTAGGGTTGAAGCTCTTTGGATAAAGTTTATCAGACCTCTCAGGATCTCCTAAGTAATAAGTATAATTTGGATAGAATTTGTACCCCAGCTTCAGGTAGATTAATACAGTTGTAGAAAGTGGGGACTCAGTTTGTAGCTAACCTGGAGAAATAGACTCTGATACCCCTTCTGGAAATACCACCTTCCCTTTCTGGGGACTAGGTGCCAGGTGTTTGGGGGTGGGGGGGGTATAGGCTAGAGCACTTTTAGAACTAGGCCTCTGAGTCATATTATATTTCTCTTTATATGAACCTTTCTCTGTCTACCTGCCCTATCCCAGGAGAAAAAGAAGACCTCACAGTTGACACCTCAACGGGGCTTTAGTGAAAATGACGATGATGATGATGATGACGACTCATCTGAAACTGATTCTGATGATGATGATGATGATGAAGAGCATGGAGCCCCTTTGGAAGGGTGAGGAAAGGCCTATCGCCAAGGACACCCATGCCAAGGAGGAAGCATCTCCTTTAAGATACTGGGCTGGGAGGACATCATTTAGAAGTGAAATTGCAGCATCTCTCTCTCTTTTTTTTTTGGTAGTAGGGATTGAATCCAGAGACTCTTTACCACTAGGCTACATCCCAAGTCCTTTTTGTTTTTTATTTTGAGATAGATCTTGCTAAGCTACTTTGTCAATGTTCATTACATTCATTACATTTTATTTAATTACGATTAATGTTATGTGTTCTACTGTTTTTTTAATATGTATATTTTTATGTATTAATAGAAATACTTTTAAATAACTGTGCAATATTCAATTTGACATAATTAACCATCTCCCAAATGATGGATATTTTATTTGTCCCAACCTTTTACTTAGTAGTAACACTACTAAAAATAAATAAATAAATAAAGTAACACAGCTAAAAACATTTCTGAGCTGGATACAGTGGCACATACCTGCAATTCCAGTGACTCAGGAGGCTGAGGTAGGAGGATTGAAAGTTTAAGGTCAGCCTTGGCAATTCAGCAAGACCTTGTCTCAAAATAAAAATATAAAAAGGGCTGGAAACATAGCTCAGTGGTAGAGGACCCCTAGGTTCAATTCCTAGTACTGCATAAACAAAAACAAACATAAAAATCCCCATTGTTTTTTAGTGCAAACTATTTTATATGTCAGAAATTAATATCTTAGGGGGTTGGAGGTATAGCTTAGTGTTGGTATGCATGAGTCTGTGTTAATCCCCAGCACCAGCAAGGAAGAAAATTTTGTTTTACCCTTCAACTTTTCTCATT